AACTGCTCACCATGTGGCCATGAGGGACAAGGATGCAGTCATACTTTCTGAATACTGAAGATCTGAATACTTCTTTTAATAAATAATTAATAAATATTTCTTTTTAATAGAGTGGTTCATATAGACCTACAAAAACAAATTAATACTATTAACATATACTTAATTACTTAAAAGGTCAGTATACTGATACAGGCTTGTTTTGGCAGTAGCCATTACAGCTTCCTACATTTTACATACAACTCTGTAAGTGAGAATAGTTATTACGTTTAAAGTATTTTTAAAGGCTTGTGGTTAAGTATAGACACGTTTTTGAGCTGTGAGCATGTGAATGCTTTTTGAATGGCTCTATAGAAGAGTGGTTAAGTCACTTGCTTTGTACATGTGAGAGCAGAGTTCTCCCTAAGGCAAACACACCTCTACTCTAATGTTAAACACGGCTCCCAAATCTACTAACAATTGAATTATGTCATTCTTGTGCTGTGCTCGTGCAATGTCATTTGATCTGTTCTGTCACAGTGGCACTTAACAATGTGCTTATCGTATTGCAGTGACATTTAACATTAATTGTGCAGCCCTACTAACACATTAGATCAGCTAAACAGCCTATTTGGCAGTTAGGCTTGTACTATAGTGGTTACATAGAGTAAACAAAAAGACAATAAAATTGTTAATCATACTGTTGTGTATCTGCACTCTATGACATCCTGTGTAAAGTGCAGCTGTTGTGTGTTGCACCTGAACACAAGATATTTCTTGGGCTGCCAACCTTTACCCCAGCCTGACAGCAGTGAAAAACAACAGGCCTGCTCAATTGCCCTAATGTAATTAAATAAACATGTGTATGACATCTTCAATGTGATTTCAAAACCCTAGTTTTTATATTTTTCCACCATTTAAAAAAGGCCAACAGCCATTTAAACTGAAGATTTTGGAGTGTGCCTCTGGGAATTTTGCCCATTCATCCAGAAGAGCATTTGTGAGATCAGACACCGAAGTTGGATGAGAGGGCCTGGTTTGCAATCTCATCCAAAAGTTCATCCCAAAGGTGTTTGATGGGGTTGATGTCAGGGCTCTGTGTGGGCCAATTAAGTTATTTCACACCAAACTCACCCAACCATGCCTTTATGGAGCTCGCTTTGTGCACAGTGCCACAGTCATGGTGGAACAGGAAAGGACCTTCGCCAAACTGCTGCCACAAAGTTGGAAGCATATAATTGTATGAATAGCCAAGCCCAAACCCTGAAAAATAGCCCCAGACCATTATCCCTCCTCCACCAAACTTCACTGTTGGCACTATGCATTCCAAAGGTAGCATTCTTCTGGCAAACCCAGATTCATCCATCAGACTACTAGATAGTGGAACGTGATTCATCATTCCAGAGAACACCTTTCCACTGAGTCCAGTGACAGCACGTCTTACATCACTTTGTGTCCTGGCCTTGCTTTGTGCACTGGGGCACAGTCATGCTGGAACAGAAAATGTCCTTCTCCAAACTGTTCCTACAAAGTTGGAAGCATACAATTGTCCAAAATGGCTTGGTATGCTGAAGCATTAATATTTCCCATCACTGGAAATAAGGGGCCTAGGCCACCCCTGAAAAAACAACCCCATAGCATTATTACTCCTCCACCAAACTAAACAGTCAACACAATGCAGTCAGGCAGGTAGCGTTCAAATAGAGAAGCATGATTTGTCACTCCACAGAATATGTTTCCACTCCATAGTCCAGTGCTGGCATGCTTTACACCATTCCATCCGACGCCTAGCACTGTGCTTGTAGATGTAAGGCTTGCATGCAGCTGCTCAGCCATAAAAATCCCATGCCATGAAGCTCCCAGTGCACAGTTTTTGTCCTAAGGTTAATCCCAGAGGAGGTTTTGTTTGGAACCCTGCAGTTATTGAGTCAGCAGAGCGTTAGCGACTTTTATGCACTATGCGCCTCAGCACTCGTCGACCCCGCTCTGTAACTTTACATGGTTTGCCAATTTGTGGCTGTGTTGCTGTGTTCCTAAACACTTCCACTTTTTAGTAATACCACTCACAATTGATCATGGAATATCTTGGAGGCAAGAAATTTCGCAAACTGATATGTTGCAATGGTGGCATCCTTTTACAGTACCACGCTCGATTTCAGTGAGCTCTTTAGAACGACCCATTCTTTTACAAATGTTTGTACAGGCAGGCTGCTAGGTGCTTGATTTTATACACCTGTGGCAATGGGACTGAATGGAACACCCGAATTTAATGATTAAGAGGTGTCTCCCATTGCTTTTGTCCATAAAGTGTATGAGGGTTTCTTACATCTGTGACAATATGCATAAATGCAGTGAAAGAGTACAGACATTCTCCAGTAGCATAAGCATTCTTTTAACCCTCCAATTTTGTTGCGCAGAACAGCAGTGCCTAATAGCAAGGGCACACGCACATGCACTAGCCTTGACCTCAAGAGACCTTGGTGTGTTTGTGTGTGCATGTATGTTTCTGAGGGTATCTTTGCAGTAACTACACAAGGTGAGATAAACAGGCCCAAAACATTTTTATACAGCCCATGAGTAACTAATATACTTCACAAATTACTTAACATATGCAAAAAACACACAGATCATCTATATCCAGTCATGTCTCAAACACAAAACATGTTTCCATTATTTTTAAGCATTCTTATTTAGAAAACATTCTAAATAAAAATAAAAAACCCTGAACTTTTATACACAGTTTTAGGCAAAACAATATAGCACCCACAGTGAAATTAGTTGATTTTTATAGTAAAAGGAGTGAATACAACTTCTGCAGCACATTATTTTTAAAAATTACATCTGCAAATATTAATCCACAGTTAACTTAAAAAATTGGAAAAAAATAGTAATTGTGGCAAGGTTTGAACATCCTTCCTGTTGTAAAGTCCCAGAACTTTGGCCTTGTCAGGGTTGGTTAAGCATTATGAACAGTCTATGCAGCTGGCTGAGGAACTGAAAATGAAGCTAAAATATATGGCCAAAAGTATGTGGACATCTGACCATCACACCTATAAGAGCTTGTTGGACATTTTATTCCAAAACCATAAGCAGTGATAAAAAGTCCCTTTGTGGTGATAACAGCCTCCACTCTTCTGGGAATCTTTCCACAAGATTTTGTAAGATGTCTGTGAGAATTTGTGTCCATTCAGTCAATTTGTGAGGTCAGGCACTGGTTCACAATAAACATTCCAGTTCATCCCAAAGGTGTTCAGTGAGGCTGAGGTCAGCGCTCTGTGCAGGCCACTGGAGGTCCTCCACACCAAACTTGTCAAACCATGTCTTAATGGAGCACACTTTGTGCACAGGGCCACAGTCATGCTGGAACAGGACAGGACCTTCGACACACTGCTGCCACAAAGTTGGAGGCATATAATTGTATAAATAGCCAAGCCCAAACCCTGAAGAACAGCCCCAGACCATTATCCCTCCTCCACCAAACTTTACTGGTGGCACTATGCATTCCAGAGATAGCATTCTCCTGGCAAACCCAGATTGTCCATCAGAATAACAGATAGTGAAGTGTGATTGAGTCCAGTGACAACACGCCTTACACCACTCCAGCCAACACTTGGCATTACATGCAATGATCTTAGGCTTGTTTTGCAGCTGCTCGGCCATGGAAACCTATTTCAATAAGCTCCCAACACAAAGTTCTTGTGCTTATGTTGCTTCTAAAGGCAGTTTGGACTCTGTAGTGAATGAAGCAACAGAGATTTTTACATGCTGCCCACTTCAGCACTCAGCAGCCCCACTCTGTGAGTTTGCGTGGTCTACCGCTTTGTGGCCAAGGTACTGTTGCTTCACAAAAATAGCACTTACAGTTGACCAGGGCAGATCAAGCAAGGCAGAACTGTCACTAACTGGCCTGCAGCAAAGGTGGCATCCTATGACAGTGCCAAAGTCACTGAGCTCTTCAGTATGACCCATTCTACTGCTGCTGTTTTTCTGTGGAGATTGCATTGCTATGTGACTGATTTCATACACTTTTTAGCAGTGGTTGTGGCTGAAACACCTAAACTCAATATTCAGGACTGTACGCAAATATTTGGCCATATAGTGTAAATGCTGCCTACAAAGAGAGAGGCTATAAAAAGATATCTAAACACTTCCAGCTCACAATCTATGTTGTCTGAAATGTCATTAAGAAATGCCAGTCAGGAGGAACTGTGTCAAGGCAAGATCTGATATAGATAGAACTTCTCATATGCTGGCTACCAAGGCAAAGCAAAACTCCCCATGTGACAGCAATCTGCAGGAAGGTGGTGCACCATTCAACTGTGAAACACTACATGCACAAACATGATGTGCATTAAAGAGTCATCAGAGGGAAACCATACCAGAGACCTCATCACAAAAGTCAACGTTTTAGGTATGCAAAACAACCTCTACATAAGCCAAAAGCATTTTGAAAACAAGTGCTATGGACTGATAAAGCAAAAAAAAAAACTCTTTGGCCACAATCAATCAAGATATGTATGTAGAAAAAAAGAACAGCATTTGTTAAAAAAAGATCACCTGGCAAACTGTTAAGTATTGGGGTGGATCTATTATGCTTTTGGAATGGATTCCAAAAATATCAGCTGGAATTCTAGAAGCAAAAGTGACAGAGTTAGTTAAGAAACTGAAGCTGAAAAGAGGCTGGCTTCTAAGTCTCCTGGCTTGAACATTATTAGAAATCTGTGGGTATATCTTAAACATATTGTGCATGCAGGACAGACCAAGATTATTTCAGATCTAGAAGCATTCTGTGCACTAGAATGGGTGAATTTTAACTGGCTGCAAAAGTGTTCACAAACTCAGTTTGCTGCAGAGCTTGTGTTTGTGTGGTTTTTTTTTTACTTCAAAAATCAACAACATATGTAATTTGGCCAGGGTGCTCAAACTTCCTACAACTGTATAATACATATGTGCATGTATGTGACCCAATATCCTGATATTGCATTAAAAAAAACCTCTGTGTTTGTGTATGTGTATACTCTCACCTGTGTCCTGTCTGAACTGGTGCATGGACTGCAGGTCTATAACATAGGGTGCGAGCTGGGGGTCTACTTGGCCCAGAATAACGGTCCCACGTGCATCGCCCTTTAAAACGTTCTCAATGTGGTGGCACACAGCTGCACTGTACGGTCTCCAGCGCCCATGTTCATTCAGCCACTCCCACACAACCACACGGGCCATGCTCTGAGAGGGGTAACCCAGGCCCCCTCCGACCGACACCAGCACTCCTGAACCAGGCCGAGCCATTTCTACACCTCCACACAAGAGCAGCGGACACCTCCTCCTGCAACAGCTGAGAAAAGACAAGTGCCTGGGAAGCAGTCTCTCAGGTGTGGACAAAAACTAGCTTTCTAGGTTCTTCTGATGCTGTCAGACTTGATGGATCATAGAATCAGGGCACAAAAGTCTAAAAAAGACACTTTGGGAGAAGATATTTTGTTTACAAAGACAAAAGAATACACAGGAACTTAGCGACATTGTTGTCAGAAGGGGTCAAGGGGTCTAGAAGGTCAATGCTTGGAGCTCTCTTTGATGGACAGAGACTGACTGCTCTGTCCTCTTCACATTTAGAGTCTGTGGAGACAGTGAAGCTTGATCTGCGCCAAAACATTAGAGTCTGTGTTCTTTCCTAATGAAACAGCCATCGCAGACCAACGTGACGTCTTTGTATCTTGGCCTCTCCAGCAAAATTAGGAGAGCAAAATCATACACAGGAGTGCCTCTTCAACGACTGCGTCAGTCAGTCCACAGGTCGCCTCACTTAGGCCCTGTTGTAGATCTTCAAGCATAGCAGGAAGCAGATAGCCTTCAAAGACGATAATGGTATTCTCTGCTTTTTGAGCTTCAGCAGCCTGTCCTGAATCTAAACAGAGAGTGTAGACAGAGAACAATAGTCAGATAAGAACAATTACCAAAAAAAAACAAAAAAACACAAAGCATATGTTAAAGCCAGCCATAAGCATTGCTGAACTAGCTGCGGTCTGACCCCTATATCAAGGGGCGAGATAAAGAGAGATATAATAAAGAAAACAGCAAGACATTATTTTAGATCATCTTGTTTTTTAAATTGTTGAGATGTAAGCCACGTCACTCAGAGTGGTTTGATGTGAAATGGTGCATCATACAGAAATACACCCACTCAGTATTCTATACAATGGAGGTGACAGGAACCAGTGCTTGCTACACTGCAAAGATAGACATTCTATTTGCTATCCCAAATGTATTATCGATTTACTATCTGACACGTTCCATATGTAATATTGAAAACAGTAAAACAGTGGTAAATCTGAAGAAAAAGTTCTTTGGCTACTACTTTGCCTTACAATGCCCTGCATGTACCCCTCAACCATGAACTGATTTTTTTAAAAAATATGTTTTAGAATAAATTTCTCAAAACTGTCATGATACAATGACTCAGGCATCAGGCAATGTATATGTAATCATTTCATGTATTAAAAAAAAATCTGTGAGGTAGCTTTTACAGGCATAAAACGCTTTGGACGTCTGGTTCATATCACTACTGTTGTAACTAATTCTGATTAGGTAATTTTCTCTAAAACGGGGCAATTCACAACAAACCACTCTGAAGGACTTTTTTATACACGTTAACCATTTAATTACGCAGATAATTTGAAAGTACGGTGAAATTCCCCTTTAATATATTCAATTTTGTAATCCAAGCTCTGGAAATAAAGCATCCGCATTTAACTGAGAGAGAGAGAGAGAGAGAGAGAGAGAGAGAGAGAGAGAGAGAGAGAGAGAGAGGGGGAGAGAGAGAGATGTCTCCAGAACGCTGGCCTGTATAACAGAGTACTCATACAGAGATCACAGATCCAATCTTTGTTCTTATCAGCTGAGTTTGTGCGGTTGAGAAAAGCCCTGTGGTGCGTAAAGGGAAAAATGATCAAACGCTGTTCTGACTGACTGTCTGTTCCACTGCTTCTCCTACATTACGCAGATCGACCAGATCACACACTACATCGTCTGGCCTCGTTTCGAGGTCAACACGCATGAAGCAGAATTCCCCGCTCTCTAATTCTGCGATTCAATGCCATTTGCATTTCCACCATCTCAAATTCAATCAGTGGGGCTGAAAACACACTACCGATCAAATGAAAAAGGAGAGAGAAGCGGGTTTCTGATACCTCCAACCCAGTACACATCACACAATCTGCCCCACACATCTGTGCATCTGCTTGAGACCGAGTCGCTGTGTGTATGTGAGCTCAGATACGCGCTCGCTCAGTTACAACTCACAAAACGAACTACGAAAACGAGCTCTTCTTTTCCAGCTGGGACCAGGACCTTTTTCTTACTCCTTTCCTCTTTTTGCTCCCTCCTCCTCTCCGTTTTAATAGTGTTTTAATCAGAAACGTAATCCCATCCGTAGCGCTTAGCCGGACCCTCATCTTGCAGCCTTCGCCTCAGAATTGTTCATCGCTTTCAAGTAGCTCGTTTAAACCAAACCAGACGGCGTTATTAGCCGACCAGAAACGGAGCGGAGTAGCTTCGCTCGGCGTGAATCTCCAAGAACGCCTGAAATAAGGAGCCGCGGCTAGCCTGAGTATGTAGCCTCACCGCGGGCTTCAGGCTGGACGCATTTTAGTTGTCGTAGCCGAATCTTTTAGCTGAATCTTTCAGTTTTTTGCCAGTAAATATTAAAAGAGCTCATCTCACCCGTGAGGTCGAAGGGAAAAAATATCACCGTTCCCTTGACGACAGGCGCCAGTCGCGCGCAGAGATGTTTGAATCCAGAAAAGGCTCGTGCAGAGACTCCTCCAGCAGACAAATGAGCGCACTGTATCCAATGTATGATAGTCTAAATGAACATTATCACGAAGAGAAGGTTATGTGTCTTGAATACGTGTCAGATATCATTTATATTAGCTTATGCTCGCTCTGTCGTCTGTGAGCCTGTATGATGAGGCTGTTGCTTCAGGCTCTGCCATCACTAGCGCGTAATGTTTTCGCCCACCCGAAATCCGACACGTCCCGCCCCTCCTGTAGTACGATTGGATAGTGCTTGTGAGTATGAAGAATTAGCCAATCCTGATGCAAGAGGCAACAAAGTGCTAGCCAATCCCAGCGCAGGACAGGCGGGATTTGTCGGAATACGGGTGCGACTCGCCAGCGCGGAAAGAACGACGAACTGAGAAAGAACATCCGATTAACGCGATTTTCCACGCGGAGCGAGTTCATCTCTCACCAGAATTTCACTACCATGCTTCTCCTTTTGTTAAACTAAGCCAAGTAAAAACACACCAGTGCCAGAAGTCTCTTAAAAGATGAAGAAGAGAGGAAATGTACGATCTTGCAGCATCGGGTCAATACATGGCGCACCTGTGAGGTACCTGACGAACATAATCTGGTCCTGTGATTGAAAAGCTATTTAGAATCTATAATACTAAGTAATTTTATAATCACCAGCTATGAAAACTGAAGGAATTGAAAATAGAATTTGGTTAAAACACTAGGTAATAAATGAATACTTAAGTAATAAGAGGTTGAGCTGTCCTTTGTTTTCAGAGCCACTACTTTCTTCTTATGGAATGTTGTTAACCCTTTACGGCATGAACTCTACCTGAAAAATGTTTTCATGTTTTTTTTTTAATTGATAATGGTATCAGTAGTATAATGGGGTACATTGAATTATGTTGCCATCTGGCAACAATGCTGACAGTGGACCTGTAATCTGCAATTCATACAATGTGAGTAAACCAACACACTGCTACAGGACATTGTCATAGATTCATCATTCATGCAAGAAAAGAAAAAAAAAACAAAAAACAAATGCATTTTGGCCATATATGCATAAATGTTTTAAGAATACAAAAAAGCATGTAAATAATTATACGTTATTCCGTCCAAAGGCACCTCACAAGATCTATGCTGATTTCAATTAATGAAAAAAAATCCACAGATTCTGTTTAATTTTTTTCTTGCAGATGTTTTGTAGAAAAATTACTTTGAAAGAGCTCAGCCCCTGCTCAGGAGGGCCTCTGATCGGATAAAAGTATAGCATATGACACATAAAGGTTTTAATTTCCAAAAGCGTACGGAAAAAATATACTTTCATATTGTAGTTGGCCAAAACACTAAAAAAAATTCAATTTAATTCAATTTGAGGCACAGATCTGGGAAAGAGTAAAAAAATTCTGCAGATTAAAAGGTCCTGAAGAACAAAGTAGCTTAAATAAAAGGAATTCTGAACCACTAAGTTCTGAATCATCTTCCTATAGCTGGCCACCAGTCAAACTGAGTAAACGGAGAGATGTATTTAAGTTATGGAAGTGAACAAGAACCTGGAGGTCACTTGGACAGTTTTGTGTGGAGATGGGAGAACCAGAAAGACAATCATGTTTGCAGCACTCTCTCAAACACTTTAGACGGAAGCACTCTTCTCCAAAAGACAAATGATAGCTCACATGACCATGAACCTAAAGGACTCTTAGGCACCTAAAGGACTCTCAGGCAATGAAAATAGGTCTGGTCTGATGAAACCAAGATTTAACTCTCTGGCTTGAATACCAAGTGTTACATCTGGAGGAAACCAGGCGTAGCTTATAATCTAGCTAATTCCAGCCTTGGCATCATCATGTTGTAGGGTTGTTTTTCAGGAGCAGGGGCTAGAAGCCTTGTCAGGATTGAGGGAAAGATGGACAGATCAGCAATACTACTAAGCATATAAGCAAATAAGCAATATTAGTAGAATAGCTTTCCTTCATCTCCAAAATATTAGAAAGTTAGGAAATGCACTGTGGCTACAGAATATAGAAAACTACTTCACACATTTATTACCTCAAAGATGTAGTAATGCCCTGCTGTCTGCATGTTCCAGCAAAAGCCTAAACAAGCTTCAGTTAGTTCAGAATGCTACAAACAGAGTGCTTACAAGAAGTAGCAAGTTTGACCACATCAGTCCAGTACACTCTCCGTCAAGCTTCATCCTTATTTCTTTCTCAGCCCTCCAATCACTGCACAGCAACTGGTGCTATCCGCCATTGTTCCAAGCCTTCAGTTTGTTATCAGCACACCAGTGTTTGAATTTGAAGCTCCAGCTGTGGTTAAAAGTTGTAACTGAATACTTTTAAAGTGAAATTCCATCCCACAGAATATGATGATATCTACCTGTCCATAGGCTAAAATGGGCTCTGTGAAAAATGACAAAGCAAACATTTAACATCAATGAAGGTAAGACATGAATGGACCGTAAATCATTTTAATGCCCACTGTGGCAATATATTTTTCACTTTCATGATTGGGTTTAGGTTTTTAAGTTTACTGTGTCGTTTTTCCTCGTCTTTGTAAATCTAGGAGTCTGATTTTATCACAGTCATGTTGTCTTCTTTGGGGCCGCCTGCTGTGGTAAAATGCTTTTGCCAAAGATGATAAAGTTTGGGTTTTTAAGTTTGCAGTGTTGTTTTTGTACATGTCAGCTGTTAGAGTTTTACTTATTATTAAATTGTTATGTCATATTCACTGGGAAAAACATGCCTGTAGCAAGCGGACACATGCTTTGCAATCTTAATAGTAAAGAGTACTGCAGTGTGTTGTGTTCATGTGAATCCAATATTCTGGTTGATTGCCAGAATATGGTGATATTACCACTTTGAAATAGGTATGGTGATGACTGCATGGCTGTCATGACAGCCTGCAATAACAATATTGCAGGACATTAGTGTGTTTAAAACTTATTTCTGCCTACACCTTTGATCAACACTACATTGGCTGCCAGTTAAATTCCATATTGACTACAAATTCTGCTACTGACATATAAAGCTCTAAATGTCCTTGACCCTTAGTATCTGCATGAACTTATTTCTTATGATGAAGCTTCATGCCTACTTAGATCACAAGGTGCTGGCTTACTATTAGTACTTTAATTTAATAAACCTACATCAGTTGGTAAAGCATTTTCATGCAAAGCCCCCTAACGTTGGAATAACCTCCCAGTCAGTGTTCTAGACTCAGACACAGTCTCAATCTTTATGTCTACACTCTTAAAAATGATGGTTCTTTAAGGGTTCTTTAATAAAGAAAATGCTTCTATATAGAACCATAAACACTCAAAGAAACCTTTGTATGATTAAAGCGTTCTTGGCATCATGAAAGCCTTCTTCAGATTGAAGGAGAATGTGCTGTAATGGTTCTATATAGAACCTTTCTGAAAAAAAAGGTTCTACGTAGCACCCAAAAGGTTGTTCTATTGTTATGATGTCAAGCTTGTAACAATAGAAAAGGTTTTTGCGTGCCACATATACGTTCCAACACATGTCTGAAGAGACCTGAAAATAGTGGTATAGCCAGAGAGGCCCTGCAAAGAAGAATGGGAGAAGATCCCATATTGACATGCCAAGAAGACTTAGGGCTGGTACTCTAAAACGTGCTGGGTTGAAAACAACTAGATTTGGGGAGTTTTAAACCACATGGCTCAGTCACTATTGGATAGAACATCCAGTAAGTCAACTAAAAGTATTATTACAATAAACTGCATGTTTAGGCTAACAGAAGCAACTATGGATATGGCCAACCCTAAATATAGTTGAGATGTGGCAATGCAAATCATGCATGCAATAATAAATGATAATATTTTGAATAGGTTTTATACAAAAAGGAGACATTTTCTATATATTTTTCACAAAAACTAAACAAATAGCAGTAACAGGATGTAGGGTATGGCCTCAACACCTCAACAACTCTTCTATGTTCACTCAGATTATCCACAGTGGGTTAAATGGGTAGGAGGATATGAAAGGATTTAAAGCCACATTGTTAAATACTATTACATGTTGAACTTATATGGTCACTTGACAAATAGAATGTAATCCTAGTGGAGCCATATAGACCCTGTCAAACCTGGCAGGATAACGCATCTGGATTAGGAGTTTTATATGTTTTATATGTTGCAGCAGCTGAAACGGCATTGGGGCTGAACATTAAAACAAAGCACATAAACTTCTTTTTTTACTTAGCTGTGTTAGCATTAATTAAACTTTTCTCTACAGACGTGCTACTCTTTATTCAACATTGGTTTGGCCACAGTAACAGCGATTTCCACCTGCTGAGGGGAGGAGAAGCTAACTAATATTACTGAACGTAGTGTAAAAACTAGTTTCTGTGGTATAACTATTTGATTGAATGATATGTATTCCTTATCAAAAATGCATGTTCATGAACAGATGATGAACTCTTTCAAGTACCCTTTTTTATGTCATAAACTTGGCAAAGTACCAAGAAGTACAAACTTGCTAACTTGCTTGGATGATGACAGCTTGCTAATGCTAATGAGGCAAACCAGTGACTTACATTGCTCATAATGTTACTGTTAGGTACAACAGCAGTTACAAACCTTTTATATCTGCCCCTTTGCTGCTGGGATCTGAGATCTGCTTTCTTGTGATAAAGCAGGGGAGCAGAAAAAAGCTGGCTTGATACCAAACCAAACTTCCGCAGATGAATCATTAGATGAGGGATAGTGATTTAGAGGCTGGGTAGCTTCCCTTGGCACCTGGATGGGTTGCAGGGGGTGTGGTCTTTTCTGCAGTCACTGAGATTAGTGCATTACACAGTGCTGCAGGAGGTTAGGTTACTGTGCTCTATTAGACACTTCTACCTGGTTGGTCCACATTGTGGATGTAAAGTCAGAGACAAGAGCTCATCTGTTGCTGCACAGGTTGTGTTGGTCATCCTCTAGTCCATGGGTACACAACTCTGGTCCTGAAGGGTTGGTGTCCAGCACACTTTGGTGATTTACCTGCTTAAACTCACCTGAGTCAACTCATCTGTTAATGGCCAGGTTTAGTGGGTGTGTTTGAGTAGGGAAACAACCAAACTGTGCTGGATACCAGTCTTCCAGGACCGAAGTTGTGCACCTCTGTTCTAGTCCTTCATCAGTGCTCACAGGACGCTGCTCACAGGATGCTGTTGGCTGGATCTTTTTGGTTGGTGGACTATT